GTAAGAACAGAGAAAATTCGGAATGAAATCTGTACATACGTCAGGCAAATTTTCTGGTGCAACATTCCCAGAATTCCTTCGCTACCAGGGTTCCATGCGAAATTCTTACAAAACATACAAAAGACCAAGGATAATCATTCATTACCGAGAGATAAGTTTACTTTTCTTTCTGTGCAGAGACTGAGAGAGTTTAACAGAAACAAAAAATAATTACATCTACTCTACAACGTATTTCATTTATTATTCAATTTTATTGCACAAGATCTTTAGTCTCGTTCAACCAGACGCTCGGCTGTCTCCGTAAATTCCGACGTCATGTGACGTCACAGTCTAGACTGTGTCTCGTGAGGTTTGGCGTTTGAAGAGGCGGATCAACGTTACAAGTGTAAGCTGCTATATAGCTTTTTGATGGTACAACTGCGCTCGCCCCAACGGTCACACCGTAAAACATATTAAGTTTTGAATATCGTGAAAAGATACTTATCATGACTGCATTTCCTTTTATTGCAAACTATTAATTAAAGCATCATTGAATAAATCACGAACCATCTTTGTTTTCGACGAAAGAAGCTAACAAATCATCCCCTTCTTCGTCAAAGTCGTCCATACTTCCCGCCATTGTTTTCGATATTATGCTAATTCCGATTCCGATCTTATTTACACGGGTAAGCGTGAATTAAAATTGTATCAAGCTTTTAATTTTAGATCTCAGTCCCCAAATATGTTCTTTATATAGAAAATAAAAACAGTGCTAAATGTCTGTGGTACACAGACACTTGTTTCTGTAATTTATTGTTTATTAACCGTAAGTTTTGTTATAACATATGGCAATGAAACTATAAATGCATGTGCTATAGTACATGAATTGATTTCACTTATTTATGACAGACTTGATTTTGGACTTTACTTTTCTTTTTGTCTTTGTTACTTTTTAAATTCCTACATAATTACATTGTATAATATGTATAATTAATTGTTTATAATTAGCTGGTGACACTTCGACTATAGTTTTTGTTATTGCAAAATGTCTCAAAATTTTTAAATTTGGTTACTGTCATTTCTCTCCTTACCCCTTACCTCTTTTCTCCCATATTTATATGCACTGGCACGATCGAGCTCGAGCGCCTCGAATTTAACGCCCCAAATACATTGAAACGAGTGTCCCATACATGGACCTCTAACATTAGAGGGGGATCAGGTGCAATGGAGGGAGAAACTATACACATCTCGAGCGCCCCCTCCCCCCAAAAAATTAAAACCCTGTCTATTATATGTCCGGACCAGATGAAAAATATCAATTTATTTTTCGGACGAAATTCGTTCTAATTTGTCCGAACAAATTTCCAATTCTTTCAAACAAATATCTAATTTGTCCGAACAAAATTTCTAATTCGTCCGAACGAATACCTAGTATATCCGAACAAAGGATATGTTCAGGATTTAAATAAAAACTTTAGGAGAAAACAATTTCCCGGAGAAAGTTACATTAAAAAAACAATACTTAATAGTTATTCTATACCTTGTACTTATCCATCGTCGGATACTCACGGGTGTTCTCGTCGTCATCACACGGGTGATGAGTAAAATCATAGACATATAAGAGAGGGTCTCTTATATGTCTATGGTAAAATTTAACACAAGATCACCCGAGGTGTCCGTCGGTGATATTGGTCTAAATTTTTCAATTTTGCATTTTAACCTTAAAATTTATTACTTGCAACTATAAAATCAACCTCCAAAGTTGGCCAAAACAGCATTAAATCTTTCTGAAAACAAAATTTAAAAAATTCTAAGTAAATTTCAGTTAATTTAAATTCTGCTCCTACTGATGCATGCTACTGGTTTAGAATTCAAGATTCAAGATACCCCCTTAAATGGTTTCAATGGTATTTCATAAAATCGTTTGACAACAAAGACAAATGACTTACCCATTTGTAGGAATTTTTTTATCTTACTCGTTTGTGGGACTAGATCTTAGACGCAATTTTCTTGCTTATCAAAAAGCGAACGGAAGGAGCTAGGGAACAAATACACAATGAATTTCTAAGACAGGAATGAGAATCGAACTTGAGAACCCCCTACTTATCTAGGCCTCTGGGGTTTTTTTTTTTTTAGTACTTTTGAAAATGACCTACATTGTATTTAAAAATGCTGCATATCCAAAGGATGAACAACACGAAAGAGATTGGGCTACTGGAACCAGGTGTGCCACAGTCTACAGTTGCAAAAGGTTTTAATATTGCTCAAAGCACCAGATCTCACCCATAAAACAGTTACCAACACTACATGGTACTAAAAGTATGGCAGGCCACGCAAGACATCAACAACACAGGATCGCTTCATTTGATTGCACCATCTTCATCAACGTTCCACAATGAAGTCGTCTACAGCATTACACAGAATATTAAACAACTTAAAGACCATTTCAAATGACTACGGAATGCAGGAATTAAAGCCGGATGACTACTCTATGCCATTGTTTTAACCCCTAATTACCACAATTACCACCAATATCGACTTCAAAGGTCTCAGGCCAACAGATTATGGCTCAACACTTGAGTTAGCTATATATGAGTCCAGATTTTTTTTTTTACTGCAAAACCTGATGGAGGAGTCAGGGTTCATAAGCTTCGTAATGAACTTTTGCAGAAGACTGCCTCATGGAGGTTGATACATTTGGTGGTGGTAGTGTTATGATATTGGCAACGGTATTGCAAACAAACAGGACCATTTTGTTCATATTCAGAGGACTTTGACTGCATAACGGTACTCTGATGATGTCCTCCCTGTACAGGTCTTTCCAACGTAGAGCCATATTTCAGTCTGACCAAACAAAATCACAAACGGCTCGTCTGACAATTGCATTCCACTCTTGCAAAGACAAAGCATCTGTTCCTGCCTTGGCTTTCTAAATAGCCAGATTTGAGCCCATTTAATTTGCAATGGACGAAATGGATAGGCATATCCGTCAAAGAACCGCATCGCCAGACTCTGCAACAGCTGACCCCAAGATCTACATTAAGAGTAGGATAGTATTCTAAAACAGTTTTGAATATTACACTTATTTTCGTCCATGGGCTGACGTTTTAGGCTATCCTTGGGACATACCAGAAATTGATCTTTAATTACTGTATGTGTACTTAAAAAAGCGGGCTTCATATTTTAGCGGCTTTGGCGCAGACAACGATGCGCTAATTCATGAATACCGCTAAGAAATCATTTATAAATATAATATACGGTACGGACATGCATAGCGCTAATTCATGATTTCGCCAACAACTCCATACCCAGTAATTGCGCTAAATTTTGAATACGCCAATTCGGATTGTGTCTTATGGCCTTTGTTAGGTCTCTTCGAATCCTTTATTCACTTCGTTGCCTTTAATCGATTATTACGAACACTATAGAGTTTTTAAAAAAATAAAAATCGTAAATACTAGCATAACTCAATTAGACTTTTGGTTCAGTTACAGCAAATCTTGAACAAAGATGATAGTATGATTAAACATTTTGCCAAATATGATAAAGCGCTTTGAATGATTTTTTTTTTTTAAAATTGTTAAAATGGAGGTTGAGAACAATAGTGGCGAGACTGTATCACATGCAATTTTCAACTTGACAGTCATTCTGCAGACATTTAGTACTATAAAACCTGTTTTCCATTAGTTGACTTACATTCACAGGATTCACACTAAAGAAGGGGTTATAAACTTTTGATTTTGTTCTCTGAGAATTTCGATGCTAACCAATCAGAAACGCCGTGTCTGAATAATGCACAACACAAAAAAAGATTCGGCTGTTGGAAGCAAGTGTATCTTAGTCTACAGTTAAAAAGGGATTTCTTGATGAACAAAATAGCAAAGTAAAACAGACACAAACAGCATGGTACAGCATCATAAGCACAGGGCCACTTCATTAGGTTGTGTCTTCTTCAAAATTTCGTCTATTATAGCATTAGCTATCCCTTGGTGGCACAGAATATCAGACCAGACCGTTTGTAATGAATGAAATACGGAGAAAATGAACAGTATTCAAGCTTAAAGTTCATTTAGACAATACAAATAAGGAGCAGAGCAAACACGGAACTCCATAAACATCAGAGGTTGGACCAGGTGCCATTGAGGAGTGAGCATCCCCTGCTGACCGGTCAAACCCTCCGTGTGCTCCTTGTCATGATCGGGTAAAAAAGAAAAAAAACTGTAGACAATTCAATGTGTAAATAATGGCCTAACGATTTGTATGTAAACTAAAACGTCAGTCAGCATTTGACTTAATGATAAGTTGTTTTTGCTGACAAGGTCATTGTATCGACGACCATAACACTTGCTAAATTACGACTTCAAACGAGACTGTTGATATCCTTGTTTCATCAACATGTTTTTCAATAGCTTGCATCGTTTTAGAAATTGTTCCTACGTAGAGCACGCTTTTGCGTATCGAATCAACTGCGAGACATAAACCCATATGTACAAGTGATAGGGTATATTATTGCTACATTAGTAAGGGAAGATGACGAGTGAAAAGTTGAAGTCATCATGTTTATCATAAAGCTTTGTTGTTAGGAAACCATTAACGTCTTTTTCTAGTTAAATATGGGATGCTGAAATAAGAGCTAGGAGACTGTTCATGGTAATTGTTCTGACCCTTTACCACCACCGCTGACATCGACTTCAAGTGTATCATCTGATTATTTAACAGATTATGTGCACGCTGGGGAACCCTTTGAATTAACTACAAATCCAGACCTTTATGGCAAAGGCCTGAAGAAGTGTCAGACTTCGTTAAGAAAGTTTTGTACTCATTAAACATGTTTCAACTGCTTCAAGTGGTTAAAGCTAGATGGTATTAAGTACAGCTGTCTTTAGTTAGCTGTCTTTTGTTTAATTGCAATCACAGGAAATCAATATATGACAGTTAAAATAAAAATTACACTAAAATAGACAAAAAGGGAAGAAAACGTTTTATTTTTATTGTTATCTACATGAGTCAGCTGTTTTGTTCTATAATTTCGTTTTACAGTCTTCACCGCCGTACCCTTCCTCACATTTACACTGTCTTCCGGTCTGGTGTTCTTTGCACTGACATGCGCAGCTGGACTGATCAACTGTTGCTCCGTTGTAGCAGTATGTGTTACAGCGACTCCTGCAGTCGTTTCCTGTTGAAGAAATCAGTCTTAATAAATAAAAGTTACTCAAGGATCTTTTTAATATATTGGCATTTATCCACTTTTATTAATAGTTTTTATTGTGCTTTTGGTTAAACTATGTCCAATGTATTACTCCTCTCTCTATAAAATAGTATTACATGACATTGTAATAGTAAGGGATACATTATATTTCGAACAACGAATTTAATTTAAATTTCTTTAGCCATAATGCTATGTCCCATGTTTTGTTGAAAATTCTGTTATAAACCATGCAACTGAAAATTAAAGATATACATATATATATGTATAACCTTACCATAAAACCCACTGGGACAGTTACAGGAGCAGATCTTTGTGTTAAACAATCCTCCATTAGCACATTGTCCTTGACAAGTCTTAGCTTCAAAAGAAATAATATAACTTTTTGATACAAAAAAAAAAATTTAAAAAAAAACCATTAAAAATGTACAGTGCATACATATCGAGCAGCTGAAATGTATTCCTCCTGAGTGTCCTGCTGAACACGTCATTCAAAAAATATAGTGGATATCGATGACCTTAATTAAGTCACTTACTTGTCCCATACCTGTGAAAATGCTTGCAGATATTGAGCTGTTTTTTCGTATGTGAGTGTACATTGATGAGTTACAGATCAAGTTTGCTTTTCATTCCGCTTCAATCATTTTTGACGGAATCAAGTTTTTTAAATATAAATTTCTAAGGTGTTTCCGTATTTTTTTTCCTCTAAATGCTTGTAGATATGGAGCTGATTTTTGGTATGTGAGCTATTCTTGATGAGTTATAGATAAAGTTTGCACTTTGTTCCGCTTCAATACCGATATTATTTGGCATTTTCAATGTTTGATCAATGGGAACCAGATTACACTTACCCCTTTCCCCTCAAAAATGATTCCCCCCCCCCCGGAAAACTGGCTGTAGAGTAGGATATCCCTCCCGGAAAAGTAGCTATGGAGCAAGATTTCCTACATGGAGAAATGACTCTAGACTAGGATTTCCCCTACAGAAATTCCACATGAGAGGCAATTTTCATTATATTTTAAAGGAAATTGGACTTTTTTATTTGGTTTTTCAATGCCCCTTTGAGTATTTTTCACTCATATTGAGATGCCACCACTTGCCGGTGAAGGTCTGCAAATTTAGACCTGTACTCGGCACTTGCAGCCTTTGAGCAATGAGGGATTTTTGTGTGCCAGATTCTACGTGACGTCGTTTTATACGGTTTCATCCAAATGACCGATCTCTACGTTGGACAGTGGATTTGAATCCACGACTTCAGGATCAACTCCTTATGCTGCGAGTCCAGCGCAAACACTTTAAAATATTCTGTGCGGGTGACAGGAACTTGCATTTAATTTTGCAAGTAGTAATTCAATTTATACTCAAAGTTCCATTCCTAAAGAGGAAATTCTTCAAAATAATCTGTTTAAAATAGTTTTATTATTCCCAACAATCATATTGAATTTGAATTACCAAACCTACACTGGATTCCTAAACTACGTAAAAACCCTTATAAACAAAGACACATAGCGGGTTCCAGTTAATGTTCTACCAATGAATTATAGAGAAAACGAGCAGTAATCACCTCAAAAGTCCATTGAAACAATACAAATCGGGAGCAGAGCAAACACAAAGCTCTAAAAACATCAGAGGTGGGATCAGGTTCCACGGAGGATTAAGCAAGTTGTTAGAGTAGACAATTGTTAACACTAGACAATTCCGTGTGTAACTAATGGCCTAACAATTATTATATGCAAAACGTCAATCAGCATTCGACTTAATGATAGATTGTATTTGCTGACAAGGTCATAATATCGATCATAGATTTTGCAAAATGATTAATTTAACAAGGCTGTTGATATCCTTGTTTCAACATGTTATTTGTCAATGGCCATAAACCCCTGTGACGGTACATATTGTCGTTTTGTACATATTGTCGGCGGCGACAATATGTACCTACTCTCACTGCACATATTGTCGTCCATCGGTACATATTGTCGCCGGCGACAATTTGTACCGAGACGAGCCTTATTTTCCTCCTGCATAATGGACGACAAAATGTACAGTCAAGCACCAGCACATATTGTCGTCGGCGACAATATGTACAGTCAAGGTCTGCATATATTGTCGTCGATATATTGTTTTGACGAATATTTACTTGAGAAAGGTTGACAAATACACACACACGCATAGAGGGAGACAGACAGCATTACTCGCAATACTGTAGAGAGAAAATTTTTAGTCAGAAAATTGTGTCCAAGATTGATGTACGTCACTATGATATGTCAAGATACCGTAATTCTTGAGATATCTGATAAATCAGCCTATTCTTTTTTCTTCTAATACATACTTGGAGATTGAATACATGTATTAGGTTTTTTCGTTCAGTACTAATGATCTTTTCTGATCACATTTTGTCTGACCGTCTCTCTGTCTGTAAACTTTTCACAATTTAAGCTTATCACGAACTACTGGGTCAAATTCAACAAAACTTGCCACAAAGCATCCGTGGATAAAGGGGACTCAAGTTTGTTCAAATGAAAGGCCATGTCCTCTTTCAAGGGAAGTAGTTAAGAATTAGTGAAAATTTACTGATATCTCTTAAAAATCTTCTCAAGAACCGCTGTGTCAGAAAAGTTGAAACTTATGCGAAAGCTTCATTATGAAGTGTAGATTCATTTTTTTTTCAGATCATGTCCCTCGGGGGAAGGGTGTGGCTACGAAAAGTGATCACAGTTTTTCATTTCTAATGTTTAGAAAAAAAATTCTTTCAAAATCTTTTTTTCAAGAACTACTGGGTCAGAGGAGATGATACTAATGTGAAAGCTTCATTGCATAGCGTTCAATTTTGAGGTGCTGGCACGAAAATGATCCTTCACTGCTCAATGACCCTGACTGCCAAGTATAGGTCTAAATTTGCAGCCCTCCACTAGCAAGTGGTGACGTCTACATACCTGATACGAATGAAAAATTCTCGAGATGGACATTATAACAACAAACAAACAAACAAAAACAAAATCAATTTTGTTCAAATCATGACCCCAGGGGTAGGGTGGGGTCACAATGGGTGATCAAAGTTTTACATAGGAATATATACAGTAAATCTTTTAAAAATCTTCTCAAAAACCAGACAGATGTAGCACCGGTGCACCCCCCCCTTCCCCCCGGTGGTTTGATTATATTTTTTTTTTGCTTTGTTAAATTCTGTTTGTTTAACTTGTGCATACTCTCAATTTAGTCCACAGGTAAAATTTCATAATTACGATGTAAATAATCTACTCAACATATACAGTTACACACTTTACATACAAATTCTTTTTTGCTTGTCAAAAAAATTCTGAACCGCAACCCCCCCCCCCCTTCCGTTCAGAAATTTCTGGACCCACCACTGAGGAAAAGCAGTAGGCCCGTGATTAGTGATGTTTATATGGAAGCATATTCAGGTAACGCAGATTCAAGTATCTTGAAATCAAACTGGGCTTAGGGTGGGGCCACAATGCGCAATCAAAATTTAACATGGGAATATATGGGAAAATTCTTTGAAAATTATCTTCTCAGAAACAGCTAAGCAACGATTAGTCATATTTATATGGAACATTGCCGTGCATTGTCATGCGACATGATCTGATTGACGACAATATGCGCAGTGAGGGTAGGTACACATTGTCGCCGGCGACAATATGAACAGGACGACAAAATGTACCATCACAATCACGCTGCATGAAATACCATACGAAACATGTCAGTGTGATTCACACACAAACTACATTCACAAAACTGCCAAAAAACAATAAAATAAATCTTTAAGCAACAATATCTGTGGGGCGACAATATGTACAGTGAGGGTGAGGCACATAACGTCGCCAGCGACAATATGTACATGTGTAATTTTTCAGCCGGCGACAATATGTACCGATGGATGACAATATGTGCAGTGAGGGTAGGTACATATTGTCGCCGACGACAATATGTACAAAACGACATTATGTACCGTCACAACCCCATTTGCCGGGGATAAGTATATAGCTACATAAGTAAGGGAAGGTGGCGAGAAAAAAAGTTGAATTCATCATGTTTATCATAAAGTTTTGTTGTTAAGTTACAATTAACGTCTTTTTCTAGTAAAATATCCAAATATGAAACAGATATACCAGACTCTGTGGAATCTTTTCATTCAAGTTCAGTGGGATAAATTGAGTTTACATATGAAATTAAGTAACTATTTTTAATTGATAACACATCGTCAATCTATCTAAATGTCGAGTTTAAGCGTTTTCATGTATGAGTGGTTTTTTAAAATAAATTTACTAGGGATGTCAATTTTGTCAATAATTCATATTCGAATATTCAATGAAAGTATTCGAATATATTCGAATATTCGATATAATAAATAAAATCTTGTTTATTTTAAATATGCATCATCCTACTCTCATGAAAGGTTTGGCGTAGGTATTCTTATATTAGAAGTAAAATTGTACGAAGACTTTTGTAGGTGTACAATAATTTCATTGATATCTATTTTTGAAATAACTAATTGATTTAAATGTAGAAAAGTATAATTTTAACAAATGTTTTTATAGTAGCTCCAACTGAGAAACCAGTCGCCTTACCAAAGGCTAGATAGTCGTATATTGTCTAGATTTAAATACGTGTAATTAATTACTGATAACAATTATCAGCCTAATTAAATAAGGGATATGATTATAATCTTTGAAATAATGATTTTGAAATATAAACAAATATTTCCATGATAATTTTCCTAGGTAATTAATTAATTTCACGATTATGAATATAAAAATTCAGGATTATGTACAACCCGAGATAATCAAGTAATTTACACATTTATTCTGAAATTGAGCCCTTTACAATATTAATTACAGAATCTATTTAATCCGACATTCATTCAATAATCAATTAAATTTTTTTTGATAAGTATACTCTTCAAGTCTTTTAGACATTCTAAGAAGATTTTCATTTTGTTGTCCTCGATCCTAGATCTGATCGTATTTAACTTATAAAAACTATAAAAGTACGTTTTGTATCGTACATAAAGCATTATTGTATAATTCTTTAACACCTTACTCAAAACAAAATAATTTAGTAGTTCTATAAGAAAAGAAAGGAGTGAAAGAAATCAGGCATTCGAAATTGATCGCTAGTAAATTAAACAGGGACAATTCCAGCAATGTTCTAATCAAAATTTATTAATCACAGCACAATTTTTTAGGAAATCTGAAAAACACCGAATATTCGAATCTTAAATTCATATTCGAATATCAACTCATCGAATGAATATTCGAATATTCGTTGACATCCCTAAAATTTACGTACCTAGTTATTCGGCATATCCTAAATTGTTTTGTTAAAAAAACATTCCGATAGTACACATAAGTAATCTGAAGTTGATATGAAAAAGATGCTTGAGTTTCTAATTGACAATATCTATGTTGTTTTTGGAGATTAAGTCCTCCAACGATCTTTTGGAATTCACATGGGCACTAATTGCGCCCCGTTTTTAGCACACCTATTTTATATTCATCTAAAGCAGAATTTATTAAGAACTTCTATATGAAAAAAAAGAAATCCTCTGTTGTGGCCCTTATTTCGACATTTGGATATAGAAACGACGTTTTTGTCTATTAACAATAATCATTTTCTTTCTTACGTTGATTTGATATATCCCTTCGAACTCGAAATGAAAGACACCATAGAGTCTGATGGATGCATCTGTTTAATACTTTTGTATTTTAAGACATTAATGGCAACCTTACAGCAAAACTTTATGGTAAACGAGATGACTCCAATTTTTCTATCAACTTTCCTTATTTAGAAGCAATATGCCATTATCACTTGCACAATGAGTTTGTATCCATGTACAAAAGAGCATGTTCTATGTACAAGCAATTTCTAAAACAAGGCAAATTATTGACAAATAAGTTGATTATACAAGGATATCAACAGTATGGTTAAAGTCAACATTTCGCAAATTCTATGGTCGATACATTGACCTCTTTAGCAAATACAATCTTAAGTTCAGTAGAATGTTGATTGACGTTTATCATACAAATTGTAAGGCTATTATTTTCACGATGAATTGTCAACGGATGACCTTCATCGTGACAAGGAGCACACAGTGGGTGTGATCGGTTGACAAGGAATTCTTACTCCTCCATTGCACCTGTTCCCACCTCAGATGTTTTCAGAGATACGTGTTTGCTCTGCTCTTAATTTGTATTGTTCCAATCGACTTTTGAGGTTAACTTTTTGATTTCTTCATATTTACAAAATTAAACTTCGCACTAATCTACCTTTCCAAGCATTTGGATACTGTATTCATTTCCTTAAAATGATTTACTTGGTGTATATATCTAATATGTTATTGATGTAAATTTCTGTAGCATAAAGCCGAGGCAGTTATGTAACATTGAAAATGTTTTTAAAATGTCTATTGCAATTTTCCAGATACATTCTCCACTTACCATATTTGGGTAAAGCATACGCAAAGCTAATGCCAGTATTTTTATTGTTCCTGTATTGGTAGTGCTGAAAACATACAACTCGTAGTGAACATCTGGAAAAATGTTTGAATGTGATTTTCAGTAATGTTAAGGAATATAGTTAAAGGTATTGAGATACGACTTTTACCTTAACTATGACAGGTTCAGTGATTGGTCCTTTCGCATACACGTATTGTTTCGAGAAAACATAAGTCCAGTACGTTCCGGCGAAATTCAAAGGGTTTTTTGTCGTATCCCAAATTCCTTTAAGCAAGCTAGAGATAATTGCAAGTCCGTCTTTGTTGTAGATTTCTGGAATGAAATATTATAAGTTTGTATAATGTAAAATATAATATATACATGAAATTATTTTACAATAGGAGTCTCAAAAATCGATTCTGAAAACACATTTGTTTACTTTGGAGAAGAAACTTTCTCTGGCTTGTCTAAAAACATTAGTTTGCAATAAAGACTAATCACTTAGGCCTTACCTATGAGGTTCCAACGCATTTTAAAAAAATCAAACCAGAACTGTATGTTATACGCCCCAACAGGTATCTCCGTAATAAGGTTTCTTGAACCTGAAAGCAGTATGTAGTAAGATGGTTATCATATAATAAAGAAAAGCAACTCCAAGCTCTAACTTTTATTTTACTTCTGTATTATTGCCAGGCCAGGATGCTATGTGACTAATGACTACTGACTGAGCTGGGGGGGGGGGGGGTAGATACAGGATTTAAAGGTGTAGTAGAAGAGACGAAACTTAAAAGTCAAAGGGTAAGGGAAACTCAATTTCTTAAAGTAAATTTACTTAAAATAGCTTAAGATTTGCAAAGATTTCCTTTAAATAAGAAACGTAGAAAAAAAATTATTTTTTAGGGTCGTAATGATGTCATCTTACCTTGTGCAATAGTCTCTTTATAAATCCCTTCCACTACGTCACACGTAGAACCATCTCCCTTACAGACACCACAATCATCATACTCGGCGTTAAGCTTACCGTCACAGCCAAAAAACTAAGGTTATACAGAATAATAGCAAAATATTAAGATCACAGCAGTTTGAACCATTAAAATTAAAATTCAGCAGTGCTAGGTTTTATTCTTATTTGTTATAATTGCTTGTTATTACTGTATTACCCTGCAAAAGCCGTCCAAACATCTGTAGGTTCTTTTGCCAAGCTTGTTTTTTTCCAACAATACAGTGGGTCCTTCACATGGAGTACCCTGGGGCATTAACCCAAACCTTGTAAAATCTGGAGTAGTGTAATCCGGAACCGCTTCACACGACACTTCGCATTTCATATGCTCTATAGTGGTAATTTTTTTTTTTTGCAATTTTTATTTACAGTAAGTTGTTATATACTAGGGCTGGGTATTGCCCAGAGATTTCGTATTGCGATATTTCTAACTGTATTGCGATATGTATTGCAATATTTTCAACGGAAATTAAAATGGTATTTTCTTAATTTATTAATTTCCATTTAAATGCAGAATGTAAATAACTATGAGAAATGACCAAGAAAAAATATTTTGTTGATTTAATTACAGTTATGCATCAAAATAAACTCACTGCAACAGCTTTTCCTTTACTGTTTGGCACGATTGCAAACGATTCTGACAGTTTATACTTCATATTTTATTATAGAAATCCGAGTCCAAACATTTTGTCGGAATATCGGTACTTGACTGTTTCACGGTAACTGCGGTACTGCTCTTTTGCAGGGCAAAATAATATAGTTTGGTGAAATGTGACGTAAAAGTGATTTTTTAATATACGTCATTTGATTATCTGTCAACAAAAATTTCGCCAAACGTTTTTATTTTGCCCTGCAAAAGAGTAGTACCGCAGTTACCGTGAAGGGGCTACTCTATTTTTTGTCATCGTACCGCAATATAGCGGAATATCGGTATTATTGCCCAGCTCTATTATGTACATTTGGAAGAAATCGTGTGCACTTTAAGATTTCATCCATAGACTGTAAGTCTGGTATACACTAGACAAAATTGCTAACGCACCACTTAGATACATTCATATTTTTCTTTTCAAAACTTATTTATGATGTTTTTGATATATAATTATATAACTGTAATGAAAAATGAAGCATTTAAATGTCTTAACTGATGAATAACAACAATGTTTACTTAAGCGTCACCATTTCATAGAAAAAACAAAATCGTGTCCATACTTTTTTGGTGGAATAAATTTCTTTTTTTTTTCTTTGTGGTAGTGTTCTTTTTGTTTGTACTAACTGAAAACTCAGAAAAAAAGTTACACCGTATGCGGCGTTTGACCCTGGAAGAGCGTGCTAAGGCAGTCAGTATGGTGTCTGCAGGGGGCTCCTTTGGAGAAATGTGTAAAAAATTAAAACAATTAAAAGATTATTCATTCCTCTAATGAGAAATTGTTGTAAATGAATCAACAATCATAAAAATGTTTACTATAGATAGCGACGACATTAAGTAAGCACCACACAATAATTTCAAGATTGTTCCACAAAACTGGGGCAACAGGGTTTTGAAGGAACACCAAGGCACTGGGTGACTACCAAGAGATATGGTAGTTAATAAGGGTATATAATTTGATTTTTAAGTGGAAGACTGTTTCCCGTCGCAACCTCAAGGACCACCATCGGTAATCATCAACTTCATATCATGGCAAAAACGGTGCGCAGTGCACGTAGGGAAATTGGTTTTCGGGCAAGAAGGTCCTTTTATGGTCTTATCATGACACGAAGACATTTCTCAATCCAACTGTTTTGGAAAAGATGGCATATATTATGTACTAGTACCGATCAGGCAAATGATCAATTCACAAATAAGAATAACAAGTGGTGCGTTAGCAATTTTGTCTAGTGTAGCAAATTGTATTCTTTCTTACCATGCCAGTCCATTATTCTTCCAACTGATGTGTACTTTTTGGAATCTAATACGTTATTCTTTAACAATCTACTGCAGGTTTCAGACGCCCGCTGATTTATAAGAGTTTTCATGTCTGAACTCTCATTGTGGCAGGGCTACAATTAATACACATCATTAAAAATATAACTCTATATAAGTGTTAATTAAAATATCACATTTTAACTTTGTTTACTATATTAGATTCAAAGAACTGATTCTAGAAAATTCAGAAATTGCAAGGAAGTGCCGTTAAATTTATTAACCAACCTCGGAACTGCAAGTCCTGGCCTCATAACCATTGTCATCTCCGCCTTCACAGCCTGGGTGGTTCAGAGGACTTAAGTAAAATTAAAAAGAACTAAAACTTTTTTTTTTTACTTCACACAAATGATTATTAAATATGTCCGCGCAGGTTTTCTTCCTACGAATCACGTTCATATTTTAAAATCAAAACCAACTTCAGTAATATCAAGGACACTAATAGAACAACTGACTGAAATATCCGCTATATATACTTTTTCCTAGAACCTATCTATATGATAATTTTAAACTAAACATCAACGAATTACAGCAAAAGTATCAACTACATTAAAAGCAATTGTGCCAACTTTACTTTATAAACTTATCACTTAGCTGCAGACTGGTTTAACTAACAATTCTGTTGTTTCCCTACACAACCTGCATCTATCTGAAAACACATTATCACAAAGTCACTAAAACACAAGCTGAAATCACCAAGATACCCTACCTAGTTACACAGACACTGCATTTCTTTTGGTTACAGATATAAGCTAAAGTCACCGAGACAGTATAGCTAGTCACAAAGACACTAGGGAACTAGGTCCCTGAACTGAGTGGTCTAACTAACAATTCTGTTCCCGACACAGCCCAGGAATCTAGCCCAAGTCACATAACTCCAACAATTAGTTACACCAAAAGTATTTATATATATTTTGCATCTGCTCCATTAGTACAGATTGGTTAATAGTTCTAATCATTTGATTGGCAGAAATGTCAATGCTGATTGGCTACATTTAAAATGATTCGATTGGATGATTTGAGATTTCTTCCAATCCACAATACTAATTCAATTTCATTACAAAACATCTTAATATATATTTATGAAACTGAATTTACTAGATGGACATAAATGCCAAAATTAACAACATGATAAATTCCCCATTTTAATACACTTTACATTTATTGCCATTTTTGAGGTCAATACGATGACTTAGCTATCTGAGGAGGTGGCTAAATCATAGTATTGACTGAAAAACAGCAATAATTGTTTTATTATATGATTCAATGATTAAATTAGACGAACTCGTTAAGCAGATCATGTCTTCTTACTTGTTTACATTTGCTGAAGTCATAGCCAAATGCAATGAGAGAAGCAGAGTTAAATAAACATAACCAGTCTTATTATTTTGAAAGGGGGGTACTATCAGGGAAAATGACAGCTTAATAAAATCTTTGATCAACCCCCACACATAGAGAATTCTTTTATAACTTAAAATTTTGTTTTGGGGTTGGGGTGGAGATTAAGGTCAATTAGCCTTTCAATGAATATTTAGAGTCTAGATTAAAAGTAAAAATTTAATTTCAGAAAAAAAATTGTTAGCGGGTCCCTTGCACACCCCCCCCCCCCCAAACCCATTCCAAATTATATATTTTTACTAATGTTATGTGCATCTGATTGGAAGTCGATAGCAAGTGAAATAGCTTTCTAAAACTATTTGTATCAATTTGGAAGAAGATGGGTGAACAAGGCGTGCAGAATGCCTATAGCTTCAGATATTTAAAAAATCATATTCAATTTGTAAATTAAGTATTTAAAGTAAAGTTCTCATTATTGAAATTTATGAAATTATGATCAACAAAACTTTTCTGAGAAAAAAAGATCTCGGAAAAAATATTCTTTTATTTAAAAAATAAAATGATATTCGTGGGATTCGAACCCCTAACAATAAAAATCCGGAGTATCTTATTAATTTGAGACTAACACGCTAACCACTACGCTAAACAGCCCTTGATGAATAGTGGCATTTAAATCATGTTTGTGATATGACCCTTGACTTAATGGACTTCAAGTATTTCTCGGAAAGATGCGAATGCTTTTTCATAAAAGTGTACTTTTAATGTATAGTGGGTCTTTGCTCCATGTTTTTGTAAACCAAAACATGTATACTTTTATGCAAACTTTTAGGATTAAATTTCAAAAAAATGGAGCAAAGACCCACTCATATCGAAAAATTTTGTTTAAGTATGAGAAAATGATCCTTTTTGCCCTCTTTAGTGTGTGTATGCTATTTCGTAGGCAAATAATTTCAGTCTTTGTGAGATTTTTGTAAATTGTTGAGATTTTTCATCAAGTATACTTTAATGTTAGATGAAATATCAAAGAAAATTTTGATATAATTGAGATTTTATTTTTTCACTTCATATTTGTCGCACTATAGGCACTTCGCCCGCCTTGTTCACCCATCTTCTTTCCTGATCTATTTTTAGACCAACGTAGAGAAAATGAATCCTTATATTCAACTCGAAGGTCACGTGCAGGTGAATATAACGTAGTATTTTTTTTCTACATTGTTGGATCTCAGCCAATCAGAGAGATAAGATTTTTTCAATCATATAATAAAATGGATTATCAGAATAACTTTAGTTTATGCCCTGAAAATAATGCTTTTTAAAGAAAGAAAGATCATAAACCTCATACTATGTATAGATACAGCATATGTAAAACGGGTGCATATGATATGAACTATTTCGGCGGTGTTAGAACGTCATGGAATGACAAATTATTTTGGTTAAATCCGCAGTCAAAAAATTATATTGATTTCTTGGATTGTCATTTAATATATAAAGTGTGCTATAGGAAAACTGTACAAACAATTTACGCGAAAAAATTTGTAATCTAGCGCTGAATGTACATTAATCCCATGCCGAAAATGTAAATCTACAACATATAAGAACTTTAAAGGGCTTTGAAAAAGCGAAAGATATCAAACTATTTTTTTCAACCCGGTAAAACCTTGGATTGTTGCATAATCTCCTTCTGTAAGTTAGCCCTGTCCCACAAGTCCTGGAGCAAGGCTGCCAATCTGCCCACGGTCCCCATCCCCCGGGTCTGACCACGCCTGGTTTTAGACTGAGCTCCGCAAATGTCGCGCATTTCCGTTTGACACATATCTGTTGAAAATTTGACCGCTTTAACGCCTTAGAATGGTTAAGTATTTGAGCTTATATAGGGGTGAATAAAAAAATGACCACCAAACTGAATTTTTTTTTTTTTTAAAAATTCAACTACCCATAACATATTTTTCACTTACATCATCATATTGTACATGCGGTCTAGTCAAAATTCCTGAAGTTGCAATAGAATATACAATTGGATAAAAAAGTTTCATAATTTTTATTAGTAAAACCTTATTTGAAAAAAAAGAAAATATCACTATATCGTATTTTCAAAAATATATAGTCAAAAGAAATTACAGCTTTTTATGCTTCAAAATAGTATCAGGGATATAAATGATTAGAACTAAACCTTCATTGAATTTCATCTCCTGTATATATGGAAAAAATTTGGATTTTAGATTGTTATTTTACATCATTTTTTTCAATTTTGGTTTGAAAAATTTAATATGAAAGAAATATGAAACAATAAAATTCTCCCCAAATCATTTTTTGTCCATTAAAGTCAATTTTTTAAAATTAAGCCAAAAGAGAATTTTGACATACAAGTTTTCTTACAAAAAATACTACTTGAAGTGACCCTATGTTACATTATTGTGTTGCACTCCTAACATCTGATATGTATTTTATTTAACATTGTTTTGAAAATTATATCACAAAATAACCCATTCTTAGTTTGTAAATCAGTTCGTCGTTTGATATTTTTTATCATTTACGGCAAGTTTTTCAGATTTTCAAGACTTCAAAACACGATTATTTGCAATGTTTAATATACATGTACATGTATATACATTGTTTTTAAAAATATGTGTTAAGTGATGAAAACTTTTCTCTATTGACTGTAAAATGTCTGTAATTAGTTGATAGACATAACGTTTTAAGCATCAAATAGTATCAAGCATTTTTTCAATATATTGTTTATTAAAGATAGATGATGATCATTGATAATTATAAAAAATATTTGTACTCCTGACTGCAGTAAAATTAAAAATTAAAACCACAAAACACAAAAAATCATAAAGTGTTGGCAACATCAAGTGGTAACGAAATAGGGCAACATTTATGGTTCAATACTTCATAATTAAAACACATTAAAGTAAATAAACTTGGCTTTAAAGCGACAGTACGGCTGCAAAATGTGTGCTTTTTCATTCAAAGTTACCCAATATGTCTTTAAGAAATAAGGTATAAAGTTGATGTAAGCAGTTTGAGAAACAGAAATATTCTCTACTCAAACAAAATTAACGTAATTAGAATCTGCCGGAAAATCAAGGGTCGTACGAACTGCAGCAATCTTAGATCTGTTTATTTGTACCACGTGAATTCTAAAACGGCACGTGCCTACACTGTAGAGTTTACAATTATAATGAATATTAGGTAAAAGCAATTTTCAAAAACAAATTATCATAACTTTCTGATAAAATAATAATCGTAAAGATTTTAGTCTGCATTCAGGAGAATTTAACAGAATTAAAAGTACAAATGTTGACGTTTTGTGTATTGGGGTCCGAGAAAGGAAAATCAACTAATCATACGTTATCGCGGCAAATGTCAAACAAAAAATTTTTCTGCACAGTTAAAAAAAAAATAGCATTTCAAATGGCAACAATGTTTAGAAGTCAAAGGTGTATTTTTATGTTGAGTTTACGTTTACACTATTTTTTTTCTTTGAAAGCGATGGAAAAATGAGAAATGATAACAAGTATCAACAAACCTGTCGAATAGAACCTTCGAGAGCCCTGCGTGAGTGTCGCCGAGTTCTCGTTTCTTCCTTATCCTGCGATTATATTAATTCCCAAACTAAATTTTAGTCAGGAAAGTTGCTTTTTCAAGTTCTATTTTCAGTTTCTTTTTATTTTTGGTCGACTTTGTCAATGTAGCAGGCCTACCGGGCTTCCCTCTCTAACCATGCTGTTTTGTTTATGAAAACTACGCATGCGTGCATAGCATGGAATGTGGAACCCCGAACACATTGCGTTGTATATTTTTACGTCCCATAAATAACTATTAATTTTAATGAAATAATCCAAATTATTTAATTGTAAAAGTTTATACATTTATGAGTAGTAAAAAAATTCCAAATTTTGTCGGAAAATTTTATCTAGTCAGTTTTTTGATGAGATGCGCCGTACTGTCACTTTAAATATTGAATTATTCCCTATTTATGTAAGAAAAATAAATAAATAAATAAAAAATAATAATAAAAAAAAAAACTAGCGAAAATATATATTTAGAAAACAAAATACATTTTATAGTATATTTTCCTTCACAGAACAAACACTTTAAGCAACTGAGATCAACCAAAAACATTATACTCATCAATTTTTTCTTTATATTTTTTTCATATTTGTTCAGCAATAATTCTAACATATCTGTTGAACTCCTGACCAAGAGCATAGGAGTCTTTAAAGTAGAATTGTAAAGCAAAAACTATATCAGAACGCGTTCTGTTGTTTCAGTGAAGTTAAGGTGGAGTTACTTGAACTTTACAACAATTTTTCAGTGTGTTTATTTTTCACATTCTTAAAAAAATCAAAGAAAAGATAAAAATCACATCTAAATTAATAAAATTGAAAAGGGGAAGGATTTTAATAATAAAACTGTCAATAATTTAGTACTAAATTATTCAAATAGATCATTATTAATTAAAGAATATTTTTTAGCATGAGTTAAAGTCTTTTCATCGTATAACTTTAATCTTTAAAAAAAATGTGTTGCACTCCTGACCATAAAAATATAGATCTGAAACACAGACATACCCTGTAATTGATAAATCTATTTGGTAAAAATGTTCTGTGTGTCTATTTTCCAAAATAAAAATAAGAAAATCATATACTGATAACAGTTTTTTGATGCTGGGGAACAAAACATCAAATGTTGCACTCCTGACATTATTGGGTACGCACAGATACTCGACTCTCATTCAAGCTGCTTGTGATTTATATAACATTTTTAAGTTTTAAATTTTACATCAGTTATTGTTTTACACTAAAAAAAATTCTTTTTTTTTTGACTTAATTGTCTTTCAAATTTTTAAAGTCGATGTTTTTTGACAACACTACATTTTTTCTATTGTACCTCTGACATGGAATAACATTTTTTTCAACATCAGCCATGACCACAACGTTTATTTCACAGATCTTCAAAAAATATTGAATTTTCAAAATGTCCCAAATAGGTGTTGTACTCCTAACATTTTCAGCATCATTTTTGGGCATAACGTTTTTGTGAATTGAGATATCAATGAGATATTTGGCAGATATTTAGACACTATCTAAAGACATATGCTGAGACATAGAAATGTATTCCCATTACCTGCACTTAAAGTACAGGTTATAAAATATGTGTTTGGTCATTTTTTTTTAATTCACCCATAGAAAAATATTAGGAAGGCCTTATTTCTCATTATAGAGTTTTGCAAGACTTACTTTGCCTGTGTCGCAGTATATTCCGGTAAGAGTGCCCAATTTTGACGTAAATATTTTTCCAAATAAATTCCCTTCGTTGAGATCCACACAGCTATGATAAAACTCGCAGTTCTAAAAGAAATCAAAAACATGTACTACAAAAAATTAATATTTATGTAGAAGATTTTATAATTCTAGATTTGTCAAAGTGAAATAAATGGTATTCTTACCCCAAGTCGGGAAAAATTGCGGAAGCGAAAATAAGGGCCGTACCGCAGCTCGCATAATTCGTCTGCACTGTACATCTGACCTAGAACGTTGCAAAAGCAAGCAAACTATTTTCTTTTTAAGATAAAACAGGGTTAAAATTTTTTTTTTCTTCATTGTTTTTACGTGAAAATGATTACAAAAAGCACTTTTTAACAAGTTCGTCCATAAATTAAATTTCTAATAAAACATAATTATGTCTTTTATTTAAAAATGACAATTACAATCGATTTATTTACTAGACTTATACATTAGATTTGTATATATCATAAATCTTCGCCCACTTTATTTCTATTAATTTAAGCAGTATCATGATATTTGGTTGATTTTGAGAATCAACCAAAATCATGTGGTGGTTTCGTCCAGGAAAGTTAATTAAAACTTATTTACACATTTAAAGCAACTATTTTCATATAATTTATTGAATTTAACTAAATTAAGAAACTACAAGTTAAAAGATCTAAATACAATTCATAGAACTGTTTTAACAATTTATAACTGAATGGTAGATGGACATCGTAATATTGTGTTTGTGACATTATGATACACTGAAGTTCTTTAAGGAGGTTGGATCCTGTTATCAAAAGTATTGAGATTTTTTTTATCAAAAATTATTTTTAGAATCTACACACATAGCTTAAATAAAAATCAAAACAAAAATGGGGGTAAATGCGGTACTTTTGGCGCTACAGAGCATTTAATATGAGATTTTTGCACTGTAATTACGTCTAACCCATAAGTCAATTTTTCAAATTGTTTCCTTTAATCTGAATAAATTATGGGAAAAAACTCAGTTTTTCCCATTTGAATAGTCATATTAAAATTTGTGCAAACAAAAAAGTTTCAAATTACTTTGACCTGTATGCGCTCAAAAAATGTCATTATCCTGTACACTCAAAAAAGAATATTAAGAGTGGGGGTCTGTTATGTTCATTTTTAGATATTACATGTACTAAAATAGTAATAATTTTAAAGGACTTTCACAATGCATTTGCTATTTTTGTCAAATATGATGATAGAATTAATGACAGTTAATTTATTATATAATTTAGGACCAGCATAAAACATTTCACTGTTCAAATTAACTCTGTAAAAATAGGAATCCAACTTAACAATACTGTAAATACTTCAAAGGAGAAAAATTGATCATTTTCTTCTAAGAAACCTTCCGCCACAAAATATAGTTCCTCACTTAATGCTTTCTGTATGAAATTTAATCATGGGTTTTAACTAAATATAGTTTAATTAGCATTGCAAAATCCAAATTTATTTCAAAAACTAAAACATTATGCAGAATTCATTTAAATAGAAGTCAAGACAAAAATCTGCTCAAAAGCTCAGGAAAAACCTCTTTAAGAGGGGTCATAAAAATATCATGAAAGAAAAAATATAAAATTTTTGCTCTTGAAATTTTAAACAAGGGAATTTAAAAAATGCCAACTTTTTTTTTATTTTTGTATATCAATAGTATTTGTCATATTCTGTAGTACTCCATAAAAATCAGAAAAATGTCGTAACGTTTTACATTTTGAAATGCCCCTTCTGGAATTCAAACAATAAAATTTTGTTTTTCTCACATATAATATACAATATACTATTACTCATTATATGTTAAAATTTGAGCAAAAACTCCATAGTGGTATTTGTAAAATTTGCTCTGAAGTTTTCCCACAATAATCCTACAGTAAACATACCTGTATTTTGAGATGGTCCCTAAAAATACCAAGACGATAGATTTCCCCTATACTTGACGTGTACATGTACACTGAAGTTAATGTAAATTACATATGACATTAATCCAAAGAAATATTCTTTGGAGCTTTCACATAATAAAACCTCAGCCGTCTCCCTCAAACAACGAATTAAAGATAATTGATATTCTTATATTATTAGATCTAACAGGATTTTTAATTTTGAGTCAAGATAAAGTCCCCAGATTAACCCGTTTGTAAGATATAAAAAAAGAAAACCTATACATGGGACACAAAACTCACCGGATTCAATACGACTCTGTTCTTTTCAACAGCAGATTCTTCTTTATATAATATGTTAAACTTTGATATCCCATTGTAGCCCACCCTGCCCCTGGAGGTCATGATTTGAACAAACATTACCTGAGGATGCTTCCATATTAATATGACTAATAATGGCTTTGCTGTTCTTGAGAAGAAGAATTTTTAAAAATATTTATGCCTAAATATTCCTGTGTAAAACTTTGATCCCCCATTGTGGCCCCATTCTACCTCTATGGGTCATAAGTTGAACAAACTTGAACTTACACTATGTAATGAAGGTTTCAGAAAAGTTTCAACTTTTTTAGCCAAATGGTCCTTAAGAAGAAGATTTTTGACAGATACAAACTATACCAAAATTTTTTTACCAATTCTTAATTATCACCCCTTACAAGAGAGCGTGGCCCATTATTTGAACAAACTTGAATTCCCTTCACCGAAGGATCCTTTGTGGCAAGTTTGGTTAAAATTGACTCAATAGTTCAGGAGAAGAAGTTGAAAATGTGAAAAGTTTAAAGACAGACAACTAGACAGACAGAAAGATAGACGACAGACAAAATGTGTTAAGGAAAGCTCACTTGAGCTTCCAGCTCAGGTGAGCTAAAAGCTTAGGAGTTTTATTACCCGGGAGAGCTGGAGTGAGTGGACCGTAGGTGTCACTGGAAACATCTTCTCGAAACAAACACTGAGCGCGCTCACTTCTGAAATCAAGAAGAATTTTTATTCAGTTTATTACTGTCTAACTAAAGAATGGCCTGTTAAAGCTTTGTCTAAGTGAAGAACTGAAGTTTTGTCTAAGTGAAGAACGGCCAAAAGGTGGGGGAAGAGGTAGCGTACTCAAGGACATAGAGTTTGAATTATATTTCGACTAAAACATATGAACGAAAAAAAATGTATTGTCATTACAATTAAGATTCTTGACTAATTTTTGTGTAAAGAATAATTCAATTTTTAAGGAAAATATTCTGAAACTGTCAGAATGCACCCCATGTGAAGAACATTTCGCTGAGTGTGCACGTGGTAAATGAAAATTTAAGATTTCCCTTTTACAAAAATTTTCACCCCAAGAAAACCATTATCAACCGAAGCGCAGCCTAAATTGACAATGGTTTTCGAGGGGTGAACATTTTCAATGTTACACTCAACTGCATGCAATATTTTTTTATATTCTACTGAATGTTTTATGCATATACAAATACATATAACAGTGAACCTTGCGCGCATAAATTCTGCGCAGTCACTATTTTTTGGAATATCACCAGTCGTCAAGCAATGTTGACTGTTGCTACGCTGGATGGCGTGGCTTCATCATTCAGCTGATAATAGTCTTTTTAACAAATGTTTCTCGACGAATAAGATTCAACTAATTAACATGAAAGTATAATATTTCATAAGATTGATTAATCCAAAACTCAATCGCAAAATATTTATTTACATATTTTTATATTATTTCCATGCGTTATCTATCTATTTATTTATTTTTTTATAATTGTGTTGTTAAAGTTCATGCAGCCGCTACCACAAACTTCATTGTGTCTAATATTATCACGACGTCATTAGCAACGCTCTGCTAAAATATTAAAATGTGTAAGTATTAGGAATGAATTGAAGTGCCTTATTACAGAAAAATATTTATCGCCAAAATCCTTATAAATGCAATACTTCTTAAAACTTACTGGTTATTATTATTATTATCATTATTATTATGTTTATTCAGGCAAAGAATCACCCCAGGTATTATCACAGTTCTTAGTGCATGTAGTTCACATTCTAAAATTTAAATTAACAGATATAAATTTTTCATCAAAAATGCCAGTTTTTATTCCTATTTTCATGACATGAAATAACATACAAGTGCTCGTATATGTATATTTAAATTTAAAGATAATTTAAACTGAACAACATGTATATTTATGTTTCTTTCAGCTATACGTTTTATTTTTTAGACATACTGTAAAAATGCATTAAAGTCTCTGATACTGCAAGAACTCCAGCCTGTTCCTTTTCCTCCCATCACGCCTCTGTCACTTCCGGTACATCCTGCGTCAGTGTCGTGCAACATCCCCATACTTAAACATGTTCAATAAAATCAAGAATATACTTTTATATAAAAGATAAATACATTTTTTATCTTTGAAATACCGAGTAGAGTAAATATAAATGTACATAAACTATAAAAACATGGCAATAGGATTTCTTTCTTGATACGTATCAATGATACAAGCTGCTGGTATATCCCAAACTATTACACAGATTAAACAAAACGAAAGAAAAAAAAGGAATTTAAAATACCCCCCTCCCAAATGGCCAGGGATATTCCATAACCCTCTGCGCTCTTTGAGCTTGTTAAGGATCCTCTCTACACTGCACCTTAACTTCAGGGTACTTTTGTGTAGTTAGACTGACCCATCATTTAACATAACATAGAATAAATTGTAATCTCCCTGTATGATACGTTTTAAAATTCATGTAAGTCCAAGTATTTTAAATGTTATGTTAGACCAACATAGAGTAGTTCAAAACATTTTTTGCATGTATGTTCTCCATTGGAGTAAGCAAAACTGATTTTACTTTATCGTTACTTCACTGTTTTTAAAGATTTTTACTGGACAAAAATGGTGCGCGCTCCCTATACTATAAATGATATAGTTAATTTTAAAATTTCCTCCTTTACGTTATGCTATTTTCTCAAAGTCCCAAAAAAAAAAAAAAAAAAAAAATGTTTTCCTGTTCTATACATTTCAAAAATGTTAATTTAAAAAAGTGCAAGAATGATTTGTTATTAACAATTTACACGTATTAATGTTTTTAATTGAAAATCTAATTTTTCTAGCAAGTGAAAATCCGTCGATTATTTTTATAATTAATTATGTTATGTTTTAAACAAACTTGATATAGTAAAATGCTAAATACAGTAACATTGATATCCTTTTTTTGGTCTCGTGGCTCAAAAATAAATAATAAATGATCCTATCTTATTTTCTTATTATATGATTACTTCGTTTTGGAATTTTTTTTTTTTTGACAAAATTGTCATTTTGTCAATAAAGTGTCAATGAAATTGGCAAATTACAGACTTGGAGCTGACGTCTGGCTTAATACCTTGAAAAGAAAAATTAAAAACTATTGATACAATTAATGAGAATAACTGCTTATATCCTAACACACCCTTGCCTACAGAAATAAAGTATTTTTTGTTTTCTTTTTCATTTGTTTTTGTTTTTATCTTATCACCTACATGTTTATGACATTGAATCATTATATATTTTTCTTATTTTGAATGAATGAAAAATTGCAGCATCCCTAATTATAATTTAAACAATGCAGTGTCTTCTTGTCTTACCTGTGTCCTAGTTCGTGGGCTGTACCGGTATGAGCTAGTACTGCACTTCTATCGATAGCACAATGCCAAAGTGGGTTACAAGAAGAAGACTGATAGGATCGACCCGTAGCGTCTGTAGGTGTCACCCTGGAAAACAAGTTTAGGGAAGAATCACCTGCTTAAATAAAAAATGTAAAGCTGTTGATCGATCTAAAAAAAAATAAACAACTGGGAACTCCAGAGATAGGATCGGGTGCCTAGGAAGAGTAAACTTCCCTAGACTACGCTGGATGCGAGCCATATGTATTGAACAAATAGAAGAATTAATTTGTAGTCAAATTTTGTTTGGTATGAGTCATGTCAGTGAATACAAACTATGATAGATTATATTTGCTAGCACGGACATTATAACGACAAAAGAATTTTCAAAATGCTGACTAAACAAAGTCATTAAAATCACTGTAACATCGACTTATTTTTCAGAATTCTGTTAAAAAGAATTCATCGAACTCAAAGAATACTCTTGCTTAGCGAAGAAATAAGGAGACATATAAACGCAATCCACCAGTAAAATTATGATACGTAATACTAGAGATTGTTCTTTCTGACGTATCCGTATACGTATCCGTATCCGTATCGAGGTGAGGGAGGCATCTCGATCCCGATGTCTAAACTATTTACTATAATTTCCATCGTTATTTGTTTGGTTTTAAAGCAGCCCCATTCATTTAAGAATAGCATATGATATTTTTTTCTAATAAAAAGTGTATTAAGCTGCTGTAAACGTCTATCATTTCGCTGGAAAATTTCTTAAAAAATAGATGTATTTGTTTTCATTATATTATTTAAAACTTTAATTGCAATTTTGTTTAAAAACATTTATCGGGATCCCCCTCTCTCTCCTTTAACATCAGGCATTTTATTGATTGATTCTGTAATTTACATTAGATGACATAAAATTAACCCCCACCCCCGCCAACTCACACACACACACACACACAGTAAAATGCAAAAGACGTTGTATCCACACAATCAATAAAACCGTGTAGCCGTTTTCTAAAGAGAATTAGCTTCCAGACCCTTACCAGTATATGCTTAAAAATGCCAGTTCATCACCCCCTTCCCGGGGGTGGGGGGTGGGGGTTGAACTGGCATTTTTAAGCATATACTTTATTAGCGTCTGTTAACTTTCTTCATTCTTTTTTTTTCAATGAACTAATTGACATATTCCTGTATGTCTCCCCTTCCTCTCCCGAGTTGTAATTGCTACTTTCGTGCCTATTCTCATACGGCTTGATTTTGCTTTATATTTTGTCCTTTCAGCAGTATAAACTTGAAAAGACTTCATGGCGACAAAAAAATAGGTAATGAAATGAAACTGCAATTGTTAAATTTGATTTTTCCTTTTAGTTCTCTTGTTGTCGTACATGCGTATTATAATTCATGGTTTGATATAGAAACTGTTTCAGAATAGGGTATTCATTATCTTAACTCTCTTTTTATAAGAAAGAAAAGAATTATTAGGCTAAAAAATGCCAAAACAATAGATTTATCTATTTCTTCTATGCTACCTTGTCCTTCCAGCTGATTTTTATTTATCTATTCATTTATTTTTATTTATTTATTTATGCATTTTGGCCCAAAAGTGTGAGTCAATTCAACACGCAGTTTACAGAATTGAAGAGAAGAGGCTGCTTCAACGTAGCAGAAAAATAAAAAACACAGAATAAAGGATAAAATTTATACAAAACATTTAATTGATAAAATGTCAGCATTTTTTCAGAGTTTTGATCCCTCTTGTACACAAAGAATTACAGTCATCTTAATTTCAATAAATAAATCATTAAGTAAAATTTAGTCAACATGTATATAAAGTAATGTATAAGACATAAAAAATTTTCTCCTTTTATCGACAATTGTTAATTCATCCCCGACAAAAACTGCGTGTAATTGCATCACTTTCGGAAATGGTAGTCTTCCTCAAGCTCTCTGGAATATCGGATACGGCTATAACCTAACAATTTAGGGATTTAGGGTCTTCAAACCACCCCAGAATTGCCAGCTTTTCAAAACTTTTCTGAAGAACTATGTCCATCAAATATAATCAAATGATATACAGAATTTTGATAATGATAATAAGAAAATAAGGATGGAAGTTTTCAGTGACACCCCCCCCCCCCACACACACACACAGAGTATGCAGTATGGTCAATTTAATCTTTCACAGTTAATTTATCCGTAATTATTTTTGTGGAAAAGAGAAACTCAGGACTTAATATCCATAACCCCCCCCCCCACACACACACACACACACACACACACATTCCCAGTAATAGGTTTTTTAAAGGTTTGATTAATTTCTACACCTTTTTTTTGTCAAAGTTTTTCAAAGGTGACTTGGTATTTTTTGGTTTCTCCATGCCTTGGCCCAGCTTCCACCTTCTCCACTTTGTTAATCAATTTTAAGTGTCTTCTTGATGTATACAAACTTATACTCAACTAGAATGTTTGATCTCTGACAACTCGTACAGTTAAACCCTTGGATATACCGAAGTTTGAATTGGTCCAATCAAGTTGAGATAACGAGCGTTGACTGTATGCATTATGGGGAATATGTCTTGTACTGGTAAAGGTTACTTCGAGAATGAAACAATAATATATCCTGATATTGAGTGAGAGAGAGAGAGAGAAGGGGGAAGTCCCTTTTTGAACCTTTGTTTATTTTTAAACAAATCAATAAAAATATACTTACTTTTTTACTAATTTTATTTTTTTTAAAAATCCTTCCATAAAATGATAGGTGTGAACAGCAACTTGATACGTCTTAGTAGAAATATAACTATATATCTTATTTTCCAATGAATGAGGTTAAAATCAAACAGAAACGATGGAAATGTTACCCAACGGTTAAATCATCGGGATCGAGATGCCTCTCTCACCTCGATACGTATACGGATACGTCAGATAGAACAATCTCTACTACTACATAAATAAGGAAAGTTGACAATGGAAAAATACTAAATGATAATTTCAGGAATTGCTATTTTCAATAATGTTTTTTTATAACTTGTTCTATGAGGGTATATTGCTTGAAGTTCATTAACAAGCAACAGTATTGTTTTGCATTAAACATTAGATTCCGTGAGTCGAAGATTGTTTTCCTTGTTGAGAAACAAGAGGCTCATGAACCACATCGCTCACCATTTTTACTTGAATCTGCGATTATTTAAAAAAGATTTTAAAAGTTTTTTTCCCATCTTCCTTAAAAAATAGTTTGGCTCTTCTTTTGTTAAATACTGAATAACCTTTACACAAAGATGTTTTGTCTCAAATTTGATTGAAATTTGCCCAGTGGTTCGGAAAAAAGATTAAAAAAAATTGTGAGGTTGTGGGGGTTAAAGATGGACGAACGAGTACATCGCCTGACAACAGAACATAAGAAAACCTTACTTGATGTTTAGTTCAGTATCCTCTTCGTAAAAACAATTTCTAAAACGATGCAAGCTATTGACAAAAAGTTGATGTAACAAAAATATCAACAGTTTTGTTTAAATTATTTTTTCGCAAGTTCTATGGTCGTTACTATGACCTAGTCAGCAAATTCAATCTATCATTAAGTCAATTGCTGACTGATATTTCATGCTGATTATGAGGGCATTATTTACGCACTGAATTGTCTACAATTTTTTTCCCGTTTGCCCGATTATTATAAGGAGCCCATGGAGGGTGTGACCGGTCGACAGGTGATGCTTACTCCTTCATGGCACCTGATACAACCCCTTTTTTTAGAGGCCCATATTTGCTCTGGTCCCGATTTGTACTTTCTTTGGACCGTTTAGCTTGATTACAAGTCTCCATTTTCATTCAGGTAGGCTAAAACATATACATACCCGCTATGTATAAATAAGATATCGTATTTTACTGGAATGTTGCGCATGCCTATACAAAATGACTCCATGGTTTTACCAATGTGATAATATGTTGTGTAAAAGGACTGTAATTAGAAAATCAAAATTTACGTAATTTAATTATCGCAAAATTTGAAGTATACACATTAATTAAGAAAATTATATATATATTAGAAAATATTTGGTTAATGAAATAGTAAAAAATCATTACCGGATCTTTCTCCCAAAAACCAAAATATTTAATCTGGATTTTTACGTTGTAACCGAGAGCATCTGATCTAGAATACTCCATTTGTACCTAAATCAATTTAAGTAAAGTCATAGTTAAAAGTGACAGCATTTATTGCTGTATAATTAGTAGCAGGTGATTGATAAATAGGGTAACATTTTAAACATTTATCGAAATGTAAATACGGATTAGTCATCAAATTCCACAAATCTTATTATTATATTTACATTTATGGCTGATTTATAAGAAATATTTGCGTGTTATAGATTTATGATTTTTGAAACCTCAACCGTATAAGTTGAATGTGTTGAACGTCCCGACCACATATGACTTCACTGTGAAATTACGTCTTTTAAAAAACAATGAATCTGTGGTTATGAAATTCAGGTTTAAATATGCATCGCTCTAATGGCGTTTTACAAGGGAAATATTTAGAGCAAATATTATATAAATTAATTATCACGTTTTACTATTATATCTTAATATATTCAAGCAATAAGATTTCGTACCCCATTATATTTCACGATCATAAGTTCAACTCTCCTGGCAGTGTCCTTGAATCGAAGTCGTTCTGTGTATTTGCTGTCTGTGTACACCGCCAGTTCAACAACGACATCCTTTGTGGTGGTCTGTCTTCTATATTTGTCCTTAAGTTTTCTTATTTGGTCATCCAGTGCAGAAAGACTGACATCTAACAAGATTTTGTAAAAGGATTTTTTGCATTTCATTTCTTGCGTTTTTCATTTGATTTACTTACGAATTTTACATAAAAAACTGAATGCTATATATTCAGTTTGGTATTAACTCAATAGAAAACTGGTGGACTATATCACCGATAAAACAAAGGGAACACGAAACTGTCAATTTCTAAAAATATAATAAATGGGTGAAATATATTGTGTCACCTTTGACATTCACACTTGCCCCACCGGTTTTGTATTGTGGTCTCATTTTGCCAATCACAAGAACGGTATCTTCGTCTGAGAAATTGAGTCCTTTATTGTGAACTTTGGGAAGTTCTCTCAACTGGAAATCTCCAGATCGTGTGGTTAGTGATCCTTTCTAAAAAATTCAAAAAATGATGCAAGAAAGCTTTTAAAATGTGAATAAAAGTGATGCTGCTGTATGCTATTGTTTGCGCAAGTCAATTGAGATTTGTTTTACAGTGTTTCTGTGGAGAATATTAGTTGCACAGATGATAACTTTCCTGTAGAAAATCTTTGGTTCTGGTTTTTGTCGCAGATTATGAATTTGATGAAAGCATATTACTTATTCATTAAATTCATTGCATTTTTATGAACCTCATAGGAATTTCAATATCGGATCTATTTTATCTAAGCATGCTTCTGAAAATTTTATTAAAATCAATATGCTTTATAAATCATTGCTTGCTATTTTTATACTGTGTATGTAAAAATGACTTTCTATTTTTATCGAGATTTAAAATTTCAACTACATCTTCTTTAAGAAGCATAATAAGTAAATATTTAATTGACATACCAAGCCTTCACAATGTGACAGGGAAGCAGTGCCGTTGTGTGAGGTCACATGACCGACCAAAAAGCAATCCGGAATAATTCCCTTCCACTCTTGGTCGCCGTCATCATTCCTGGTTACAATTCTGGCTTCCGGGTGCAACACGGATTCCGGTTTAGATACTTGTAACTGATAATCCTCACCAAAAGCTGACAAAATGAGTTCTGTTGGTGATAACCCTCTAGTATTTCGAATATTAGATCTAAAAATTAAAAAAATCTTTTGCAGATGTTGTTAAATACCTTTTGGTATTTCATGTAGGTTTTCTCCTGTAAAAGAGCAATTTCTTTTCAGTAAAAGACACGGTAAAAAAAATTAATCTCTGTAAATTTGTCATTTCCAAAATTACATAAAGCATCATATTTACAAATGTAAACTTACAAATTAAAAAAAAACAGTTTATAAGACTCAAATCTGCAAATATATTTAACTAAACAGTTAGGTAATTTAAAGATCTGGGGAACAAGAGATAGGGATGCTCATTGTTTATAAAATAATATCATATAGTTCTTTTGATTTTCCTATGAAAGCAATATCCAAATGTACTTGAATCCACCATTATCTCCCAAAAGGAGATTTTTTTAAAAAAAAAATCAATTTCATGGTAAACACCAACCAATCTTTTTATTTGCCAATTACTGACACTGTGGGCAAAGATAACAAAGAATGCAACCTTTTAAAGGTATAATGAAATATGGAGATAACAATGCAAATTGGGAGCAGAGCAAACACGGACCTCCAAAACACCAGAGGTGGGATCAAATGCCATTGAGACATGAGCATCCCCTGCCAACCGGTCACACTTGCCATATGCTCCTTCTTATGATCGGGAAAACGAAAAAATACGTAGACAATTTAGTTTGTAAATAATGGCCTAACAATCAGTATGACAAAACTTTAGTCAGCATTTGACTCAATGATAGGTTGTATTTGCTGATAAGGTCATTGTGTCGACCATAAAACTTGCAAAATGATGACTTCAAACGAGACCAGTGATAACCTTGTTTCATCAACTTGTTGAAATTTATAATTAAAATATTCCGTGTAATAGGAAAGCAAGATTCTAGTTCCCCTATGAAGGATCTATGAGCTCTTGAAATAGTTCTCATCCCGGGAAATCAGAATTACAAACTGATAAATTAACCAAATAAAGTTTTTTCCCCTTACCGTCTTTTGTCATGGTTAACCTCCTTTAAACTAGAAATATCAACCGCTTCCATTTCCTCTGGAATGACCAATACACAAAATCAGGTAAAAGAATAAAAATAAGGTAGATAAATAAATTGATACACAATGAAAATAGGTGTCCGTTAATTATGGTAGCAATGTGGAAAACAGAAGCTTACCAATATCTCTTTCAAACAAAGACTTTAAGGTTGATTCAGGTATCTTTTTATTTCCGTACAGCTGAAAAAGTGTTAAACACAGTTTGCTTTGTACGCATACATCATATTCTTTTGAACAAATGTATGAAAAACCTACTTTAACAGTTGTTTTTATTTACTTCTTATTCGCACATTAAAAGAAGATAATTTAGAAAGAAAGTAATATCTATTACAGGGTTCTCTATTATTTAAGATTTTACATTTTACGTGTCGCAAAGTTTACACGATGCACAAATATTCGTTGACATATTTGACTCGTAATGCAAACAAGGCTATACATAGTTACGTTGTTCTAAAGTTGAGATATATAATTAATCGGTGTTAAAAATTCAACTAGCATCAGAAACATTTGAGCGAGAAAACTGGGTTTTTTTTCTTTGTTTATTCATTCGTATTGTCCAGCGATGGTCAAGGAGATATAAATAATTCACAATGCAAGGTGAAGCCAGACAATCTGACCTAATAAAGAAAGGATTAGGTATACTCTGCGTTGAAAAACGATAGATTTTATTAATTAAAGTTTCGGTTAGAAGAAATTTACCCTAACAAAAATTTAATATAGTTAACTATAGTTAATTATAGTTTTCTATAGTTATAGCTGTAGTGAATTTATGACACTTTGATTTTCTATGGCACTACTTTAGCACTTTTTCTGATATTTCAATGCTTAAAATCTCTGAAATTCGATATCAATAGTGTAAAAAATGGAAATAATATGTGAATATACAAAAAATAAATAAAAAAGAAAGTAAGGCAAGATGGAATCTAGAATGATTTTGTTTCCAAGGGGAAAACTAGCTAAAAACACGTGTTTGATAGTAATGACGAAATGAGACACTAATCTAATGGTTATGAATCAAATAAATACGTTTTGCCACATTAAAGTCTTTTTCAAGATTTCTCAATAATGATCTGTAAAGTTACAGAAAAAAATATTATAGAATTTTAAGAGGAACAAAATATATTTGAACATAATAGATAATATACAGTTTCTAAATATTTTACGAATTTGACATTTGGGTGAATTCAAAAATAATGACCACCAAACTGAATTTTTTTTGGAAAAATTCAACTACTTATAACATATTTTCACTTATATCATCATATTGCACATGCATTCTAGTTTAAAATCCTGAGGTGGCAATAGAATAGACAATTGGATTAAAAAGTTTCATAATTTTATTAGTAAAATTTCTTTTGAAAAAAGAAAATATCATTACACCTTAAAAGACTTTCTAAAATATATTATCACAAGAAATTATAGTTTTTTATGCTTCAAAATAGTAAAAGGGGTAATAAATGATTAAATCTAGACCTTGATTGGGTATCTTCTCTTGTATATGTGACAAAAAATGGCTTTTTGATTGTAATTTTACATTTTTTTTTTATTAATTCTGGTTTGCAAAGTTTTAATATGAAAAAAAATATGAAGCAATAAAATTCTTCAAAATTCACTTTTTTTCCGTTCAAGTCACTGCTTTAAATCTAAGCCAAAAAGAATTTTATATACAAGTTCTCTTACAAAAAATACTAAATTTTGAAGTGACCCTATGTCACATTATTGTGTTGCACTCCTGACATCTGATATGTATATTATTTAACATTGTTTTAAAATTATAACACACAATAACCCATTCTTACTTTGTAAATCACTTTGTTGTTTTGATATTTTTCATCGTTTACGGCAGATTTTTCATATTTTGAAGACCTTAAAACACGATTATTTGCAAAGTGTAATATATATAAATTGTATTTAAAAATATATGTGAAATGATGAAAACTATTCCCTGAATTAACTGTAAAATTTCTGCAAGTTGTTGATAGACATAGTGTTTTGAACATCAAATAGTATCAAACATTTTTTTTCAACTTATATTTTAGTAAAGATAGTTAAAGAGCATTGGTAATTATAAAGCAGTTTTGTTGCACCCCTGACTGCAGTAAAATCTAAAATTAAAACCATAGAACACAAAAATTCATAAAGTGTTAGCAACATCAAGTGGTAATGAAACTGTGCAATATTTATAGTCCAATACTTCATTATAAAAACAGATGAAAGTATTTAAAATTCACATTTTATCTGGAATTATGCCCTATTTATGTCAAAAAACTAGCTTAAATGTATATTTAGAAGATAAAATATATTTTATAGCATATTTTCCTTTAGAGAACAAACACAGTAACCCACCAGAAAAATTCTACTCATCATTTTTTCTTTATTTTATTCTTATTTGATGATTTATAATTCTAACATATTTGTTGCACTCCTGACCAAAAGCACTGGGGCCTTTAAAGTAGAATTGTGAAGTGAAAATTACATAAGAACTTGTTCTGTTGTTTCAGTGAAGTTGAGGAGGAATTACTTGAATTTAATGACAATGTTTTAGTGTGTTTATTTTTAAAATTCATTAAAAAAATTCACAAAAAGATAAAAACACATCTGAATTGATAAAATTGAAAAAGGAAGGATTTTAATAATAAAAATGTCTATAATTCAGTATGAAATTATATAAAAAAGATCATTATTAATTAATAATAAAGCATGGATAGAAGTGTTTTCGTCACACAACTTGAATCTTTAAAACAATGCGTTGCACTCCTGACCATAGAAATATAGATCTGAAGCACAGACAGATCCTGTAATTGATAAATCTATTTGGTAAAAATGTTCTTTGTGTCTTTATTTTCCAAAATAAAAATCAGAAAATCCAAAATAAAGATCAGAAAATCATATAATGGTAATAGTTTTTTCATGCTTGGCAGCAAAACATCAAATGTTGCACTCCTGACATTATTGGGTATGCACATATACTCGACTCTCATTAATGCTGCTTGTGATTTATATAACATATTTAAGTTTTAAAATATATATCAGTTATTGTTTTATACTTCGAAAATTCTTTTTTGTCTTAATTTTCTTTCAGAATTTTACAGTTGATGTTTTTTGGCATCGCTTCATTTTTTCTGTTGCACTCCTGACATGGTATAACATTTTTTTAAACATCAGCCATGACCACAATTTGATTAAACAAAAGTTACTACATTCTACATTTAAAGCTCAATACTTTGAATATTATCAGGAAATCTTTATTTTCAACATAAAGCATTATTATTTATTTCACAGATCTCCAAAAAATATTGAAATTTCAAAATGTCACAAAAAGGTGTTGCACTCCTGACAATTTTAGCATCATTTTTGGGCATAACTTTTTTGTTAACTGAGATATCAATGAGATATTTGGCAGGTATTTAGACACTATCTAAAGACATATGCTGAGACCTAGAAATCTATTTTCATTGCCTGTATTTTTAGTGTGGGTTGATAAATATGCGTTTGGTCATTTTTTTTTTTTTGAATTCACCCATTTTCTTCATCAAAATTGGTACCGTATATGATTTACATTATATTTAAATAAATCCAAAGATATAAACATACCAAACTATACGTCAACTTAAAATGGATTGTAGCATGTACCTTCAATTACGAAGTTATGAAACCTAATATGAAATATCTAAAAAGCTATTAGCCTTTTTGTTTTCCTTCAATTTTTCCTAAACAAAATCTTTTGTTGTTTTATTTGTTTCATGACTGCTTACAATTTGATAAACAAAATTAAATATAGTAGACTTATGATAAGCTTAAAGATGTACCTCAGCACCATGACAGACATAGTGTACTGCATAGATGAGGACTGCGCATGCTCCCAAGGAAAACAACATTTCGCTCTGCAAAGTAGTTTTCCAAAGTTCTGATGACTTGTAAGCCAAACACTTGATATCTATGATGCTTTCTTTGCCTTTAACCTTTAAACCCTCCAAGTTATAAATATTTATAATAAATTATATTGAATTCATTTTCTCTCTTATTCTTAAGACTATTAAATTATGCCTATGAGCTATACTGCTTATGTGAATATCTAAATCTTTTAAGAAGCTCCTTTTCTGCAGTATTTAAAATAGCCTTGTACTTCAATAACAAAATTTGAAATTGCAGTGGTATTATTAGTAGAGACATTTGAATTCAGATTTACCCTATTATTAAAATTCCATGCAATAAAGTTTTTGTAGCATGAAAGTGGCACTTATAAACTTATAAAGTATATAATACGTTGCAGGTAATTTTATGAATTACAACTGAATCACAACTTAGAAAAAAAAGTCTTATTTTGTTTGAACAGTGAGAAGTCAACCCCTGATATTAAAATTACGTATATGCTTCAGGAGATAAGAAATTTCATACGACACCATAGTTACAGGTCTCCCAATGACGTCATTAAGGAAGTAAAAGTAGAAATATGTATAGATCAGTTCATGATATTAATTGTTAAAGACAAAAATTATTTTCGACAAGATAAAGCAATTGAACACGCTATTCAGGAGTTTTTTCAATGTTAGTTAGCGTAGGTGATTTCTGTACACGTATTCTACATTGTCTTTAAACATTTTCCCCGATAAAGAATGGCAGGTATTTGAGTTTAAAATAAAACCAGATGAATCCAGTACGTAAACTTTTATATGAGGAATGAGGACATTTTCCATTGCCAAAATATATTTTTCCACAGTTTTGAAATCTTTCTTAATTGACCAATGTAGGTTTTATTATGTTTTTTAAAAAAATTACTTTTTTCCTGTGTGACTGTGTATGAAACATATGTTTTCATTTGTTGGAACTTAATTGAATATATATAAACATTTTTGACTGATTTTCATCACTCTTTAACCGAAAATCATCAGCTGTTTCCGGGTCGACAAATTGATTCGACTTATTATCTTACAATTGTATCTAAATTAAGGGCTAATGTACATTAAGGTCTTTATCTATAAATGAGAAGAAT